TAGCTATGATGTATTTTATAGTCAATGGTAGACCTTGTTCATCTTTTAAAATTCCATGTAAATGAAACTCAATGAATAATTAATGTTCAGGCTCAGTAAGATGGAGATGGACACACATGTACTTGGATTAAAAGTCTCACAGGAAATGTGTCTAGTCATTGAAATGTGGCTTAAGAAATTGTTTAATTTTCATTCAGACAGTACATGAAGCAAAACATACGTGCCTGCAACTTTTACCAGCAAATTAATAGAATAAGTTTTATTTATACAGAACTTTTAAAGTATTCATCTCCCTTTGAGTTTATGGCAGCAGTTTATTGCCTTCTTTATCTTTTCTACTGTGACTTTGAGTTGTCCAAGTCCACAGAATAATATATCCTTATGAAAAGACTGACTAGAAAAGCCATAAGGTTTTATTCTGTTTGAAAACACAGAACCTTTAGAGAATCTCAATTCCATCTGGATGGGCATTTTCAGCTTCTACATTGCCAAATTGATTTTAAAGAAGTGGTTTCCTTCTGTCTGATTTTTACAGATGTAGATATATCATCATGTAGATATATCATAGTGGAATTTAACATATAGTTGGACTTTTGGTGTTTAAAACTTTTATTTTCCAGAAAGACATTAACAGACATTAGACTGACAGAAAAGAAGAGCAAAATAGAATTAGCATGAATTAAGTGGAATAAAGAACAACAAAACAAGTAATATTTATTATACAAAATGGCTTATAAAGAGCTATGACTCTTCATCTGTGCCATACAGGAAGGGCAATTACTGGCAAAACCAGTGGAAAAAAAACCTCAAAATAGTCTCTCTTAATATGAGATGTTGCATAATGAAGGTTGTTTTCTGGTTTGCTTCTGTGAGCAAAGATTTATTTTTTTTTTGTTACAAAAATAACAATGCTAATTGCTTTTGCTATCCAACAGAATCTTGAGTAACAGAGATAACAACTATTTTTTAAGAGCTTTAACTGGTGCTAATTCTTTTTTATTCCTCTCTTTGTTCCAGAGCCTATCTTCCAGATCTTTCAAAAGAAATAAATAATGTTGACTGTGGCTGTACTGAATTTGTTTTCGTATACGTTCATTTTTGTCTCCATCATAAAACATGAACACTCAAGTGAGATGAAATTTGGGAAAATTTGGAAGTCAAGAAAGCTGTTTGCTGAAATTGCTTCAAGGATTTGAGGAGCCACAGACTGGATATTAAGTCAGCATATCAATAAGCTAACAGTTGTTCTTCCTGAAAGCTTCTGAAGGACCAAAATGGAACATCATCATTCACCCAGGAGAAGAATTTAGACCCAGAAAAAATGTAGCGAGCTACACCATCACTGACACAATATATGCTTTTGAAAATACTGAGCTTCCTCAAAGGCTCTTGCCATAACATTAAGCATGGCTGAATCTTGCACAGTTGCAAATTAAAACATGCCAAAAATAGCGACTCAAAAGGTGAAGCTAGAAATAAAGGTTTTACAAGGTCCAGATCAATTCCAAATTCATTCCTCATCTAAGACACCAACTTTTAGGCCTCAATGGCAAATGTAAAACCCAGATGCTCTGCAAAAACATGAGATGCTCTCTACAAAAGTTCTATCCAAAAGACAGTGATAGAAAGATAAGATCATTTCCACAGGGGCTATTGTTAATGACTGTAATCTAAAGTTTAATGTTGTTACTAGAATTAATATTGACCTCAGTTGATTCACTGGTGTTTTAGCTAAGAGAATTCATAATTTTTTTTTAGTAAGGTCATAAAACTAGTTCATTTCAACGTTTGCACCAGTGCTCTGTTTTAATAACTTTGAATAAATACTGTTCTGCTTAAATTGAGTGGGAGCTGGAATGTAAAACCTGTGCTGCTTAGCTACTTTCACAACTGACAGTTTTTGCAGCTGTGTGCTGCCAGTTTATTTTTTTTTGACAGACAAAGTATTCTGGCTTTTCATGACAGCCAAGATAGCCTATTCTGGTGAGACTGCAAAAGGGTGAAAGGAAAAGGCAACATCTGATAACACCTACCTACACTGAATAAGTCATGCAAAATGCTCTCACTGTCTGAGAGCTGTGAAACCAAAGAAGGCTTGACACACGTTTGCAGGTATTAAACCCACACACCATTTCCAAGCTTTTGATTCCCTTTCATTTCTACTGCAGCGATGCTGAAAGAGTTCATGAACAGGATTGATATTAAGGGCTTGTTTTCACCAATTAACTCCTGTTGGAACTGATCTGCAATGTTTGCCAAGCTACAGTCTACCATTTCAAGCAATATTAGTATATCCCACAGCTAGATTTAAAACTCCTTACAGGAAGGCAGGGGTTAAATTAGTCCTAAGTTAAACAACTTAGATGTAATTAGGAACTAGCTACAACAAGGCTTTATTTATTCACTCCTGTTAATTCTTATGATGGTTTCAACACTGTTGATACATTATATTGAATTCACTGGGCTTATTATTTGTGACACTGATATTTTTGCGTTCAGTATATGTCTATGATTAACCAATGTGGAGGTCTGAGTGTTAAATAATCAGAGTATAAGCAAACAACAGTTTGAAGACTTTTATCTAGACTTCCGCTATTATGAAATTTGAAAGAACTAAACAGGCATCTTAGTATGGCACTCTCTAACAACAGTATGAATGCCCCAGAAACTTGTGTGAAGATTATCCTCTACTTTTTTTTAGTAACACCACCCTTAGGGGCTCCAAATAGCCATTATTATTTTATTATCCTTTGCATCCATCTTTTGAAGACTGGTGTATAGAGAATCTGTTTTTCATAACTCTATTTCTTAAAGGAGAATCCAGACACTGAAATGAACTCTGAGGCAACTCTTGTTGCAGGAGGTCAATAAGGAGGATTTATTTACGTTGACTACTTGTTCTCCTGAAAGAACAGGGAACAAGTTAATGGTGTATGGTATTCTTTGACTACCTCGAAAAATTGCTCATTTCAGTGATCAGTGACGACTCAATGTAATGAAGGGTCAACTGTCTCCCAATACACAAAGCAGGAATTTGCACACTCTGCCAGGTGTATGCCTTCACAACATGACGCTGGACAGGAAGCAAATAGTTCCCCAGAACTCTTGTGATGCTTATTAGACACTGTCATAGGTGTTTACTAATGACAGAGTGATCTGCACCCAAATAAAAGGGAAATATTGGTATTAACTATTACGTAGTGTCAATGTTGTCATAGTTCTGAGTGCTGCTTATCCACATGGACTGTGTGGAAAAGGAACCACCATAACCACTTTAAGCAAAAGATTTAAAAGATGAGATTTGCAGGATGGCTTGTACCAGTAGGTGTGAGCTAGTCGCAGAAGAAAGGATAAAGCGCCTGGATGTTTTCTCCCAATATGTGCCACAGGAATCTGGGCAGCAATATTTCTCCCTTTTTAAAAGGCGGTAAAGCATAAAAACCTTTATCCTCCCTGTTTATATAACGTGCAACACATTTCTGTCTTACAGGCCTATTTTGCCAGAGAAAATGTATTCTATTTAACATGATACCCTGAAGCCAGGGAGGAGCTTAAATGTCAAAATCCTTTCTACAAGTCATGTTTCAGAAATTTATCTCATATTATAAAGTTGTTACATAGCTACATAGCTCCCATGAGAAAAAAAAGCAATTTACGCTCTACACTGAAGCACAATTCCTTGACTAATCAGTGTTAAAGAAAACACTAAGCTGTAGTTTCATCCTCCTTACTGTGGCCATGACATGATTTAAAATGCTCTTTTATCAAGCTTGACACTTGGTCTATGAGTGCAAATTGCCCAGGGGGGGCAATCAGAGTTACGTTTCTTCACCCAGGAACTACACATGGTGCTAGGTTGCCCCATGCACCAAGGTTCATTAGGTGCCTATGTGCTGACTTGTGGCCCACACAGGGACTCAGAGCTGAGGCAAAGGAGAGGCAGGAGCCTGGCACATCTCCAGCTCTTCAGTAAGGCTGTGGAAAATGCCTGCCTTGCCCCTATATGCACCTATTATAGAGGGAACTTGAAAGCAAAGGGAACCACCTTTCCTGAACTTACAATGGATACAAGCAGCAATCATTTCAAAACCACCAAGGCATTGGGGCTGTAAAGTGTAATCTCTGAGAGGAAAACACCAGTTTTCAAAATGCAAGCATTCAACAGATGGGAGTGTGTGTTTTGAGGAGCCCCATGCACCAGGGACGACTCCTAAATTCTGACTGTAACTTCAAGCACTTTGTGGGGGGAGGTTTGTTTTGGAATAAAGCCCAGAGACTAAATGGCAACAGTCCCAAAGCCCTGGCTTGAATCTCCTCCTGCTTTGCCTCCACATGTTTCAAGCTTACCTTGATGCAGGGAGCTGGCCACGGTCTGTGCAGAGGGGACGCCCGCCTTGGTGCCTCTGCAAGGAGCTGGCATGGAGCAGCTGGCACCTCTTTGGTAGCAGCAGCGAGGCAGGGCACAGTCAGCAAGCCATGAGGAGAGTCACTCCGTGCACTGGGGAGCTACAGGGCCCCAGGGCAGCCCCAGCCACAGGGTACAGGAACCTCCCAGGCTGAGCACAGGCCTGGCTGTGGGCCTGCAGGTGGGCCAGGCTCAGTGAGGCCATGGCCAGGCAAGGCCGCAAGGAGCTGGAGCTTGGCCCTGCTGTGGTGTTGCTGTGACAGGCGGCTGGCAGCTGCAGGGGGGCTGATGTGGGGTTCTGGGCACTGGGCAGGGATGGGGACCCCTAGGGAAGGTTGTGCCTAGGCACTGCTCACGCGGCTGCCTCTCACTAGAGGCCCTGGTGCAGATCTTGGGGTGCCTTTGGCTACCACAGGGAAGGAGCAAGAAAGAGGAAAGGTAAATCAGTATTTACATATGTAATTGCATGTTGTGGTTAATAGCAGGATACTTTTTAAAAATTATTAACAAATTACTAGTTGTTTTTATCAGAATAAATAATAAATTATGGATGAATATTGAAGAAAGAATTGCCTTTATTTCTCTCGTCACTCTTAGGTGAAGGCCACAGACAAGTCCAAGATCTTTCCCTCAGTGAACAGACTCCCTGTGTCGCAAGAAAGTCTCCTTTGGTAGGTCTTGGAAATAGGCAGTCTTGTTTGAGTATAGACAATGCATCATGCTGTCTTGTTTTTAAAACAACCTAGCAGTTCTACTTGTAATAGTTTGTCCAGAGCTACTCAGGCTCTGTAGCTTCCGGAATGTGAGGTTTAGCCTGTGGTCATCTGTTTATTCCTGACTCCAAATACCAGACTCATGCAAAACATTTGGAAGAAACTAGTTTTTTTCCCATCGTGCCACCAATCTCCCCAAATGTGCTTATTTAAGAGGATCTATCTTGTAAGTTAGTTATCCCCATTGTGATTATGACTGAATATACTCTATGCCTGTCTCACTAGACATTAGGATATTCAGTGATAAAGCAATTTACTGAGTTTGCTTCACAGCATCTACACAAAATAATACTTCAGGATCATCTTCCCCCTGTCACCCCTCTGCAATTCTTCTGTTTTCTGTGGCTCCTGGGAGTGCTGGATGTTAAGCTGACAGCTGTGATTTATTCACTGGCAGCCATCTGATTTACACACAGATCTGGGCCAAAACCCTATCTAAAATGTGTTTTAACAGTAAGGAATAAAGTTCAAGAGAGAGATGTCAGAGATATTACATTATAAGTTATTACCTCTAATAATTCTATCCTAGTCTATTACTGGTTTGTGTGTTTCTTTCATTGTTTACAGCAGTTCTGAGGTTTGTCTGTAACATGCATAAACACTGTTCATGGAATACCTAGCTTTTTAAATGCCTGCTAGCAAATAGAGGCAAAAAAAGCCATTTTGGGTGAATTAAAATAGCATCTTAATTCATGAGTGCACCAAGCAGACCTGCAATCATTGCTCATCTGTGACAACCTCAAACTTCTAGTAGTTCAGAGCAAAGAAAGTATCTGAAATATCTATTAGTGTCCTTTACTATTATAGTGTCCTTTAAGCAACATTGGAGACTATGAGTTAATGTGTCACTCTACAAGCTGTAGAGTGCAAGCTATAAGATTCCCGACAAGCTACAAGATTCTCTTGCAATATAGTTATTAAAGTTATACTAGTTATACTAGTACTAGTTATTAAAGAACACACTAATGGTGCTCGGATTTTCTTTGATGGAAACACTGTTTACCACCAGAAATGCAGAATTTCACCCAGTTACCTAGGAGTAAGACCTGTGGGATTTCCATGCAGCAAGACTTCTGGTTCAAGGAAGAGAATATTCTCAGAAATGGCAGTCAGCCTTGAATTTGGGGTATCCGGAACTGATAATCATCTATGATGGCCCTAGTTAAGCTATCCCACTGGCCTGTATTTTAAAACTTCATTTTATTTCAAGAGTCTTTCCTTCCTCTTCTTTTTGTTTAGTCACTTTCTCAGCCCCTGGATTTGCTGTCGTCTACTAGATTAAATCCCTACAAGCATTTATTATTGTAATGTGGGAAAACAAACAATTTCTCGGACTACTTCATATTCACAGAAAACAAATGGTGCAATATTTTAATAGCCCTCTGTGAACTGGATTGTACATCTTAAGCTCCTGACACTCTATTTTCTTCAAAAGCTTATTTATTCAAAACATATTTTCCCACTGTCTTTAAAGAAACAACTGTCTGGCTACTTAGTATCTCACAGTAAGTGTCACATCTTTTGCCTAGGAAAGGATTCTGTTGCAAAGACAAATGATAGAGATCTGAAACAAATCCAAGGCAAAATGCCAAACACGGTCAAAATTAAGAAGCTGTGAATCAGCAATGCACTGACATACATAAATAGAGGAAATTATTTTGTTTAGAAAGAGCAAACATCTCTGCAGTGATGTATGATGTATTTAATTCTTTTCAAAAGCTGCTACTTCACAGCTACCAAATTACAAAAATTACCATCTTGTAAAAAACTTACAAAAACTACCATCTTTTACAAAAAACACCATCATCTTTGGCCTTGTACTCCATCTCTTAAAAAGGGTCAGAGATTTTCATCTAACACATCCCATTAGCATGGCAGCATGACTTCTGACTGTTGTTGCAAATTCTACAGATGAACCTTAAAGTTTCAATCAAAGTAACTCTGTGTTATGCTGTATTAGTAATAGTAATTGTTCATTGTTTCACCAATGAGAAAAATGTTACTTTCAGAAGATTATCTGACTATATGCAATTTTGTTCTATTTATATTGTATTATATATTTACTTTTTAATTATGTGACTATATGTATGAAGTTAGGCTTCAAACTTACACTACTTTTGTATTTTAAAGATTTTTACTGGACTCTGCATTAATGCTTTGTCACCTTAATTTTAATAAACAATTTAAAATCTCCATATTTTATTCTGTAGATGAGTCTTGCATAGCAGTTGATTAAAACTGTTAAATGAAGCGTTTAATGTGAATTTAAAGTCACGTGTCAACTCATTTTCATCATTTCTCAAGGTATGTAAAATTTTCATTTAACTATGAATATTAACACAGCAGTATCTAAACACATCATTATCTTTTATTCATAGCAAGCATCTGAATAAAATGGCTTTTAGTTTGTATAAAATCTTTTTTCCTCTAATACTTGATTATTTTGTTTTCTCACTGCAGTAAAAACCTGTGTCTCATTAGTCATGGCAGCTGTAGGACTGTGTTAGGGGAATAATTTTGAGGCTGAGCTATTAGACTGCAAGGCAGGAAGAGATTCAAAGGTCACAGGAAATTTAGAAAAGCTTTTAGATTAAGCTGTGTTTCCAAGACTGTCACTATGCTAATGAAGAATAGCTGGTGAAAATGGATATTTGCAATACATTTTAACTAACACTTTCTTTTTTATTATCTCACATTTTGCCAAATCTACCAGCAGCATAAACAGCACTGTAAAAGAAACCTATCAAAGTTGGTAGAAGAATGGGTCCAAGCAGCGAAGTGTTGGCATTTCCATTCATTTGTTATTCACTGATTTACAGCATTAGTAATTACAATGCTTTTCCCTATTTGACCATCTAAATTGCCTCAAATGTTGTGGGAATAGTACATAATTCTTCTGGTTTGAGTTTTAGCATTTGTACTTCTAGAAATAAAAGGTAAGAGAAAACTGCCTAGATGGTCATCATATATTAAAGAAAGTGGAATGCAGCCCAAAAGTTAATGTTTTAAAAATAATTCCATTCTAGAATGGAATAGAAAAATGGTTAACGCAGAAATTGTCATATTCTACAGGCTCTGACGTAAACTTGCAGGTAAATCAGAATGGAAGCTGTCTATAGGCAGGTTTATTCCATGAAAACATAAATTAAATATTCCACAGAAGATATTTAGGATTTTCAAAGTAAGCATGAAAAAGCTTCATAGTGATGTCAAGAGCCTGAATCATAACAGCACAAAGCAATGTAAGCAACATCTTGTATTCTTAAAAGCAATTCTATAGATGGTATTTTGTCTCTTATTTGTGTCTCTGATCATATGAGATTTGTTGTTAGAAACATACGTTGTTAGAAGCATATATGGTTTTCTATTATGGCCTGGGTTTAGGGCTTTTATCCTTAAAAAGATAAGCTGAAACAAAAAAGGTATGGCTGATTCTTTTTCCACTATTTAGAGTATGGTATAGATGTAGTAATATGTTTGCCTACACAGTATTTTCAAACATGAATACTCCTACAAGTAACTGAGGGTATAATTTGATGTTAAAGATGCACTAAGTTAGCATCAGATTACAGGCTGAGTTTGAAGTCCTGACAGTTGAAAAATATTTAAACTGAGACTATTTGCCTTAAAAATATATAAAGGTTAATTCTGGACAATATTTTGACAAACAGCAAATATTATCAGGGTATTAGCTGGTATTCAAAGACTAATCTTGGAACTCGTGATATTAGGTCATTTTCATGATGTATGCAGATGTGGTATGTGGCTGGAGAGGTTTTGTCTGACAACGTTACTCAGCCTGTGTGGGCAGTAAAGAATTAACCTTGTCTGCTGTACAAATTAGGCAATTGCAGAAGTTTTTTTAAGACACAGTACTGAAACAAAAGTTTGTATTTTACTGCCCTTCCTCAAGTACAGAGTACCTCATGCTGAAGTATCCCATTCATTTTAAAGATACCACATTATGCTTACACAGATACACCTTTAAGCAGCTGAGCACAGGCTCTTGCCTTAGCATGAAATCAAGTATTACAGATTTGCATCCAAGTCTTGCGTCTTCTGTTTCACCAAACAAGCACAGATGGCAGGGGATTTTCTAGATTAACAATCACCTTCCTTTGTCCCTATCTCCAGAGTAAATTGCTGATAAGTCCTACTGGTCTTTTCAAAAGCTTTTAAAAGTATAAGAGGCTATATTTGGACAAATTACTTTAAAATAGCACTCCTTAGGAAAAAAATATTGTTCTGAAGCAGTATTCAAAACAGCTATTCACTTGCTGTGAAATGATACTCTGTGAAAGTGCCACCACTATACTTCAGGTACAGACTGTGGAAGGTACTGATTGCAAGCACTTAAAATAACTGTTTTGAAGAAACAGAAGGCCACTGCAGAAGTTCTGTGATTTATGCTTCATGTGGGAAAACATGGTCTAAAGACTCTCTAACTCAGGAATTGAGATTTTCACAGTTGCATAATATGACAGCCCAGAGGGTCTTTAATTTCTAAGCACTGGAATTAAGTTTTAAGTGAACTAAGAGACTTCATTCATGGGTACAAGCCATTCTGCAATATCTTTTGGGGGTTTAGAGTAAGTAAAGTTGTTTGTACACACACAGCTGTAATGTCACACATTATTGTCATTAATTAGTGTGACAGAATTTGACCTAAAAGTCCCGAAGCGAGCAGTAATAATTCAGTTTATTTAGCTCTCAGCATAGTTTAATAAAGATCTTGTGTTCATAGAAAATGGCATATTTAAACACATGTCTTGATTTCATAGATGCAGCACTCTGCAAATTACTTGGAGGGCAGGGAACATTTGCGCTTTCTATACTAATGCCTCAAACCCCTCATATTTGCAGAGCTCAGAGTTTTGGCAGCAGGCCTGCAGTATGCTAAGGCTTGCTGGTCTTTTGTTTGTATCTTCTTTTTTTTTTTGTATCAGTATAATTCCCAACTGTTCTCTGCAATTTACCTGTCAACGTGCAATTTTGCCAAAAGAGGTCCTGTACTCCATGTTAGGCAGGTGTCAAAGGGCACCCCCTCAGCTGGCACAAATAGAAATTGTGTTAGAACCACTTTACTAACATGCACCAGAAGGAAGAATGATTTTATGTTCTGCTCACATGAGACTTAAATATATGTGTTTTTTCCTGTTCAACAGCTTCTAGTCAGGACATATGAGTAGGTTTCGTAATCTGCTATCTATATTAAGTAGGAAGCTGCTTCTCTTTAGGACTAGGAATAGCTTTTCTCTTTGTTGCTAGAGTTGTTTGCTCAGACAAGACAGAGCTCCAAGAGATGCAGTTCTTGGAGTTCTCTACAACGGGTCATAAAGATGAATATGCAAGTTAATTTCTGATTATTGTGGGGCATCAGGTAACACTGTTTATTCCAGATTCGTTCACAAAAGCCAGTTGGGTTAAAAATGGACTTAGAGGAAAGCTTCTGCATAAATTGTTTAAATTCATACCATTAAAAAAAAAAAAAAATGGAAAATATCCTCTCTTATCTGTGTTAAAATTAGACAAGAAAATAGCATGGAGGGGACTGGCAGAAAACTTCTCCCTCCCCTCAAAAGAAAAAGAAAAGAATTGGTCTGTATTTTACAGCTTGCTGCTGGTTAATGCCAGATAAACTGCTAAAGAGTCCCAGAAAATAAGGAATATTGAAAATAGTTTTAATTGAGGTGTTCTTGACTTACAGGGCAGAACCGGGACCACTAAACATTATTTCAAGCATCAGAGCATAAATAAAAAATGGCATAAATAAAAAGGAATTGCTGAATTTACAGAGAGAACTTTATGATCATGGTCTTGTAAAACAAGATTCAACCCTCTTCCCTTCTCAGTTCCTCCTGATATTTTTTAATACACGTTGCAAATCTGATACTTGAGGTTTTTCATTTTAAAAGATGAGTGAGTTTACCAGCTCCTGAAGTTGGCTCTGAATTCCTGGAAAAATATTTAATAATCAGGTTAAATATTAAATGATCTGGTTAAACAGCATTGTTTAGACAATTGCTCAGGGTGACAAGACAATTTATTTTTGCTTCTGAATCAGAATCTTACAAGTTTTGTATCTTTTTCTTAGTTACCCATCACCCACAAACCTTACACTGGTGCCACAAGCTTCTGGAGTTCTGAAAATGTAGACCTAGGAGATATTCCCTTCTATTTCTCTCTGTCGCACATTGTCCTGTGAATAGCAAGTTGCATCAGAGCATCACAGAAATTTTCAGCCTGAAATGGTAAGGGTGAGAGTAAACCAAGAAATGCTATAATAAACACTAGCAAATTATTATTCAGTTTTTTAGAGCAGGGCAAAAAAAGAAAAAATAACCTTGGTTCAGATATTTCCATTTGCCTGAATTTCATATACCACAGGGCTGAAAGATGTAAAAGGCTGGTATTACATTGCTGTTTTTTCTCATGCTGATCATTGTCTTGGTTCTGTCCCAGAATACAAGTTTGTTGCAACTTCCCTTTTTTTATTGTGGAACTGCTAGGGTTCCCCAAAATTGCTGGCAGCCTAGGAATTCTCTGTTTTCCTCTCTGATCTTTGCTGTCTGTGCCTCAGCATACTGGTTCTTTTCCTCTCAGTGTTGTTTAGAGGTTGCAGGTGTTTACACTGTTAGCTCCTTTGAGTTTAGCTCCTCTCTGGTGTCATCCAGAAAAGTAGAAGAGAAACGCAGAAAGAGCCTGCCTCTGCTGGGAGTGTCACAATGAACATCTGAAAGCATCTACTTCTGCTATTTCCTGTATCCTCTCTTAATGAATGAGTACCTCATAGATCTCTGAGAATATACATCAGGTACTAAATGTTGTGTCGAATGAGCAGTAAAATATAGCAACTTTAATGAGGAAATAGGCAAAGGAGCAGACCTGGCACCTGACAGACCCACACCCGTAAAAAATTCCCTCTGAAAGATGAGTTTATTTTGTCACATTAGCTCAACTGGCAAGATTAATTGATATTGGTTTATGAACCCCTGTGCAAAAATTGAACATTGGTATCTGATTTCCTAGACATGATGCTGCCCTCTCCCACTGATACACAACTATAAACAGTAGTCAAGCACTGTATAAAGGACAACTAAGCCCCTGATCCCTACAGTTTGCATTTCAGACACACAGTGAAGCATTGAAGAGGTCTAATGTCTGATTTCAGTTCAGTGAGGATGATTCCCAAAGACAGTATCTCCCCCATTATCTTCTGCCTTCAGCTCATGCAAGATAAAATAGAACTGCCAAAGTTCAGTAAAGAAAGAGGGAACATATTGTCTTGCAGTGGGGAAACAGAATGACAAACTTCAGAAATTTCTTTTTATTAGTTTTGGGTCTCTGCTGTGCTTGATTCTGGGACTGCACCTGCCTATACAGGCTGACCCTGGGAAACCATACCTTGTCAAGGTTTACCTTAAGTTGATACATAGTTCGACTCAGGCCTGTTGAACAAATGTGGTTGGGACACAGATGTGACAGGGCTATTCCAGCTATCTCATGCTTCCCGTGCTGCACGGGAAACAAGAATAAATTAGAGAATTTCCAAAGCTGTTCTGGCTCTCCTGGAGTAGCTTCTCTGTCAGGTTGCTCCCCGTGCACATCTGTGCTCCTAGATTCAGCATGATAGGCTGAGCAATGAGGCTTGTTATGTGCAAGGAATGTTCATTTAATAAGACTGAAGAATAACCGGTTGTTCTTCCTCTACGCTAGCAGCAGGTTTAGAGGTTAAATAAGTCAAATCTCCAAGGAAGTAAGTAGCAAATGGGTTTAAATTTGGTGATACAGATTAGGTTAGGGACGGACATACAAAGAAGATGTGGGGTTGATGTGCGCTCGTTTGTGGGGTTGATTTCAGGTTTCTTGAAAACTCAGTATGTTTTTATTAATGAAGTCTAGAATCAAGAACTACTAATACATCTCCTGGGTTTTAGTTGGGTTTTATTTTTGCATTCACCTTGATGACCCAAGCTAGATTGTCTTTGGAAGATTCATGAGCGGTGTGGAAAAGTTTCCTGCTCTAGTTTATAGGAATACTGTCTCCTTCTCATGATGAAAAAAGAGCAAGTTAATAATATTTTCTCTTCTGTAATTGAAACAGCTTCTCTAATTTCTAAAGAATTGTTCTGATTTTACTTGCATTTCCTACTGCTCCAAGTGTCCATGGGTCTGATAACTGTGATATTCCCTCAAAAATATGGGGATTACATGGAAATAGTTGCATGTATTCTAATATGAATGCATAAACAAATGCTACTGTAAAACAATTTAAAGGAATGTTGTGAGTTGAAAGAGGAAAATAAAACTAGCAGGTTTTATCTACACAAACTTGTTATTTCTATATGGTAAAAAAAAGATTTTTATTCATGGGTTTTTAAAGATTAAATACAAAAGTATTTAATCAAGTGTAATTGCTCCCATTGAGTCTGAATCAGTCCTGAGAAAATGAATAGTGTTATCTGAACCACAAATCTGCTGCTAACCAAAATCAATGAGAAGTACAAAAGTCACCTGAATTATGAGCTGACCCTGCTAAATAGGACTCAGGTGACCAGCAGCAGATTTCAATTATTGGATGTACTCTAGGATTGAATGCATACTTTTACAATTAGTTATTGATTTAGCCAACTTCCATACATCATTCTTTTGTCTCTAAACATAATGGTTTTGTGATTCTTTTTTAACTCCCCAGTTGTTGTACAGCTACACTTATTCCCAAGCCTAAATGATTTTTTTCCTACATGATGTATCCTCTGGTACTAAGTGACTTGTCTTATAATTACTCAGTAAAGGAAAACTAGGTAAAGAAGGTAACTAATGAGGGCTGTTGGAACAGGGTTTATAAAGGTAGATAACTGGCTATGCTGAAGAAATTAAGTTCGGTTCAATGAGAACCAAAGTTTTCACTTTTTCAAAGCTATCCTTTCAATGGGCAGAAATACTTAATCTTGTGAATACTGTTCTGTAGGGACAGTATTCACAAGGAGCAGTACATTCACATGTAAATGGAAAAGAAGAATAGATATATTGTGAATAACGTTATTGCAGTGAACTACATTTTTGAGGTCTTTCTGAAAGCTATGGACAATGATGTTTCATACAATAATAAAACAAGTTAGCGCATGGCGTAGAACAGTTTTACTCAAATTGTTACAAATGCACTGTGCTTGTCCTGAAAGGTGTTTTGCAAAAGAAAGCCAAAACCACAGTTGTCATTGTTCCCAGCTGAAGGTCTTGAAAGTAATTTTTCACACACAGTTCTTGAAAGCTTTGACAAGTCTTGGCTCTGGAATAAGTGAATAATAGTAAGCAGCAAGCTAAAAATACTACAGTGAAATGAATGAATACTGAAAACAACTAGCAGAGTGGTTTACTGTTCCCTTATTTCATTTGTTATCCTAACAACTGCAACTGCAGTACATGCTTAGAAAGTAGTAAGTGTATTCTTGATTATCCTGTTTACAGGACCTGATAGAGAAGTCATTTTAGCAACAAGAATTCAAGCTAGAATAAGCACATACTGTGTCTTAAATGTTCAGTGTATGTAGGTAAGAGAATAGGGGAAGGTTGCAGAAAAAGACCTTGATATTACCTTCCTGTAAGTGTGCAGCGAGGCCTGACAGCTCCCTGTGAGCCAAGGTGCCAGGAGCGGCGGTGGTGGTCCCCATGGTGAGAATCAGGGCAGAGCCTGGCAGCCAGCGCCCATCCCACCGCCTCCAGCTGGGGAGCAAGGACAGCCCCAGCCTTGGGCAGTGGGCACCTCTGAGGCTCTGATGGTGCCAGGATATGGCCTGGTGAGGGAAGCTGGACCTCACCAGTAAGGCTAGCTGGTGCCCTCAGGCCTGTGACGCTTGTGACTGAGAGTTCCGATTTCAGCTGGAAAGATGTTATGTAAAGTTCACCTTAACTGTAAACTCTCATTGGAACACAATAATTCTCTGAAATATCCTTTTTCAAGACTGGAAGTTTGCTTTTGTAAAATCATTAGTAGTTCTCAGCACCCAGTGGGAATTTTATCAACTTGTATAGCCACTGACTGTATTGAGATCCCATGGTAGGCTTCCATATGGTGATGCTAAAAGCAGTGAAATGGTCACTGAACTGAATTCCCTGTGCCAACATTATTACAGATTGTCTTTTCGGGGTTTTTTTAACCCATGGGTCTTTAGAGAGTATCAGTTGTAGGTAGGACACTGACATTATTCTTTTGGTCTTCCTAGGCTGGCTTTCTTTCAGGTATATTTAATCAACAGAGTGCATATTTCTCCTCACAGTGAATGGGACATCTGTGTAGTACTAAAGAAAGTGTTGCAAAATCATTTGTTATAATGAGAGAGCTATGGTGAAGCATCTGTACATGCTTGTTAATTGTTTTGAGAAATCTGTTCATTTGCATAGGTACCTAAATGAAACATTACAAAATGCTACAAACCATAGCTTTTGCACATATTCAGCTGCTCCAAATTAAAAGGTAGAGCAAAAGGTTGGTAGGAGTTACTAGTTTATTTAATTGTGAATTTTGAATAATTGTCTTTTCTAAGTTGATTATATATGCCCAGTTTTAACAAGCTTTCTGAACCCATTGCTTTCTGAGCTCTTATTGCATATGTCACCAGCCATCAAAAATCCAGCCATGTGCTCTTTCTTCTGGCAAAGTGTGCTGACTTGAAAGGAGTTTGAATATAGGTAGTAACTGAACAGGGGTTTGGACTTGGTTTCCGTTTCTCCCCTTTGTGGGGAGAAGCCCCTATTCAGCTGTAGCAAGAAACCTGAAGAGTTTCTCAATTAATGTAGGAATAGCTTATAAAACACAATAATGGTGATAGAAGAAATGCAGTCTTTTTTAAATTGTGTATGTCCATGCTTGTCTTTTAAGTACCTTCTGGGTTTTCCAGTCATTTTACACTTTAATTTTGTAATTGCACAACCTTGTCCTGGTGAGATTAAATGTATTCCCAAGTGTATAATCTCATTTTGCTCAAGAAGAAATCTGTATTCCACCTTTCATTAATTATAGTGGAGTAGTTAATTTTTATGTATTACTAGCTGATTGCATGAACTCTACCTTTGTCATTTCTTCATCTAATGTGAAAGGTCTGATTTACAAGCTAAATGAACCCAGTAGTTTATCATAACAAAGTCTAATGACATGGTATGATTTTAAATGATGATGCCGCTTTCGCTACTAATTAGTGTAAGATTTCTCTACCACTCTTACTTTATAATTTCAGTTTTAGAAGTGGTAAACAGAAAATGACAATTGCATATCTAGGCAGACTGACATGGAAAATAAACAAGCAGTAATTTTTGGATGCTTGACACATGTTACCATAATAGAAAATCATTATAAGCAGTCAGAAGATTTAGCAGATACCCAACTGAAGTGTTCATCAGGATTCTTGAGAGAGTGTTATGGAAACTGTATTTCTTGTTTATCAATTTAATCCAACAATATGCTAGTTTTGGCAATGCAACACAGGACACTTGTGTCTAACTTCGGTACAAGCAAAGTTTATGCTTATTTTGAAAACAGTTTTAGAGATGAAGATAAGCTTTCCTCAATAAATGTAACATTACTTCCATCAGATTTTAAAATATATGGCATGAAAGAGTTCCTCTAAAGGTGTTCTTATTTGAGATGTGAAGGAGAAAATGATTGTATCACTGATCAAGGCTTTTCAAAAGAGAGTGAGAACAATATCTTGTGGTATTTTTTCATTCCTATAACTGAGTGATATTTTTCTGAAGTGGAATGCTTTCATCTCTATTTTTCCACATCTTTTGTAACATTAGCGAGACTTTAGAACACCTTTCAGAAAGTACTGTGGACACACTGTTTTCTGCCAGAAACTCCAATCTAGACACTCACAGCTTGCATGCATAGCTTGATGATTTGAACTCCATCCCTTAGCTGAGCTCAGGAATTATAAGAACAGGCAATGCCCTTTAATACTTTAGAAGGAAATAAAACCCCAAAACTATCTTTGGAAACTAAAATTTTCTTTTAATTGGAAAAGAAAAACCCCACTGGATGTAATAGTTTTCTGAATATTTTTATTGGATTATCTTTTCTCTTAGATTGTACAGGCTTTTGGAGCTTGAGATGTTCTTTTTTGAAATGTTTAGTTACCCAATATTATAATACCTATTATATTGTAATTGTTTAGTTACCTAATATTGTATACCTAATATCTAATAATATAAATATTCAGGACTTATGTCCAACTGGATATATGTTACAA